TCGAACAAGAAATTGAAAAAATCAAGAAGTTGAAAAAAAAGATTTTTTTTATTGTCAACACTTTCAAAACGTTATGTATAAACCCGTACATATATTTTATAAATATATAATTAATTCAAGCAAAATAGCCAGGTAATGTAATAGATTAGATAGACTCACGAATTGACTTTCTTTATTGTTACTCAGTAGTCAATTCGTTTTCATATGATAATAATTTAAGATTTTAGAGTTACTAATGGTCTATTTAACTTGATCCGATAACAGATTTGGAAAAATCCAGAAGCCGATAAAAATATGTATCAATTAAAATAAAAAGTATGATAAACACGACACAGTAGCATCGAGCTCTTTATCAATCCGAAAAGAATTAAACTTGGACAATAAGTACTGACTAAGCGTAAACGTTATAACGCGTTTATGAACATGATTAAACTTTTATGGCTTTTTTCAACCACACATACGCACACATGAAATCCACATATTAAAATTAATATCAACACTTAACTACCGTGACGATATCAAGACATTTCAGGTTCTGATTAGAAAATATTTCGAACACTATAGCATTTTTTCCATACGGCTTTATATGAATGTCGGGAACCGACCGTGCCTTCGTGCATCGGGCGTATATGACAATGTAAAAAAATATAGTAGCCGCTTTTTCGATCATAAATTCTCGCTTCGCTGACAATCAGAATGACATTTTAGGTTTTCTTTTTTTAAAAGTCGGCTGTTTTATTAATACTGGTGTGTTGGTGCATTTTTCGTGTATCATGATACATATACAGCCACATTATCACACGTGAGAATGCGAAGGTGATGCTCATGCAACCATATGTGAAGTCGTACATCAACTAAAAGGTTTTAGAAATGCTTCTAGTAGCACAGAAGAATAGCGTGTAAAGTTGTCTCGTTTGTAATCGAACCAGCACAACATTTTATTGAGTGATAAATATAAAAGCGGTTATAAGGACATATATTGGAATATTTTGAATTTTTAATAGATATTACGAAATCGATTTCATGACTTGAAAGTAGCCCTATATTTAAATTACCCATCTGATCAGCAATGCTCAGCAGAACAGATAAATATAACAATCGTTTAATAGTCGGAAAATGTCTTTTTTTCAATTTTTTGTAGAAGACAAGTTGCCTTCCAACTTTATACTTATTTATCTATGTTTCCAACATACTTTTAAAACAGAAGATCACAATATAGATCTAATAGGCAGAAATTTTTTTTCATTGAAGTTGTATCAACTTCGACACCCCATATCTAAATACCTTTTAGTACTTAGCCCTTTTAGGTTTCAGCATAAGAAACTTTTGGGCCGATTCTAGCGTAAAATAGACCAATGTCGTGGTAAGGCTATGTTACGCTGCGTTTCACATATAAAATGGTACTAAAAACTTTCGAAGTTTCTCTGTGGTTGCTGTGCAGTCAGACGTTTTAGACAAAAAAACCTAACAAACATCAAAAAGGAATGCTTTCATAACTGCATCTTTTTGGTGTGCATTTGTAGTACATGCGAGAAGTTGGATTATATATGTAGAACATCTGATCGCACAACAAATACATAGCATTTTACAGTTTGTAGTACCATTTTATAACATATCCTTTTCCATAACATTGGTCTAGTTTTCAGCAAAATTGGCAAACAATTTCAATGTAAACCAACATATATATTGCATATGTACAGCATCTATCGCTAACCAATTTTTATTTAGTTTAAAAAAAAATTAAACTTGTTAAAAATATGATTTTTAAAAGACAGAACTGAAATCTCAAATATCAGCACAGAATCCAAAATTTTAGCAAAAAAGTTAAATTTTCCATGACAGAATTCCACAATTTGTTTGTTTTTTTCCACAGATATTCATTGTCGACTTTTCATTGTCATTAAATATAAAAAAGTATGGTAATAGACTATTCAAGGTAATACGCACGTACTCAAAAAACAAACACAAATATTAATTGTATGCTAAAAGTATCAGATTATAAAGTGAAAAATATAAAAAAAAAACAGTCGTGAAGGTAATAAAAAAGAAACCTAATTATTTAATATAGCGAACCTATCTTTCACTTAATTGTACAATGAATATCTTGTCGAATGCACAATTGCGATGATGAGAAAAGTAGCTGATCTGCTTATAATATTCTAACTTCTATAATCTATTGCCAAATGAACTTGCAAATAAAAGAATATTTTTCTATAGGTATATCGCGATTTATAAGACAACTAAGCTGGTCAACCAAAATCGTTTTTTATATGTATATAATTTATTGCTCTAAGAACCATAGCTCATATGTCGGGTTCAGAAATCTTCAACAAACAACCGGACATAGCTACCGAAGCTCAGTGTCACTACGAAGGGTATATTTTATATATGTATAAGGAAATTAAATTAAAAAATTATATTTTACGGTCGTTTGCTGGACCGGGGTTTATATTCCAAATAATAAATATAAATCATAACAGCCGTCTTCGAGAATTCCCGATTTCGGCAGCGATTCTCAAAGATCCGAGATGACAATGTTAACCATAATAAAAAATGTGTAGAATTTTGTTATCAATGTTTCTATAAAAAAAAACATTTAACAAACTTACGTCATTCAGAAGAAAAACTTATCAATCAGAAAAAGTTTTTTTTTCTTGCTTCATTTCGATTTTATAATGTAAAAGTTATATGCAAAAGTCCAATATTCAAAATATCATGAGTCTATAGATTATATGAGTACTTTCTTAATTTATCTTAAACTACCGTTATAGTAGGTAAATATGTATAACAATTTCCTAAAATAAATAAACTTTATATAATAATATAAAGTTTAGATTATTTATAGGTGTAAGATAAGCAATAGTAGGTATAGTACTAGAATGTCTCACATGGCGTACTGGATAACTTGATATCATGCAGAAGTGATATCAATTTTGACTTGAAAATGTAGATCAAAAATATGTTTCCAACTCAAAATAGCCCATTTCGGGCACTGCGGTGTGAAATGGCAATGGAAAATCTCCCACACTATTCTTCCCTGAATGGAGTTGTAGTTTAACTAGCTCATGGGCCTGCGCTAAGGCAGTACTACTCTGTATTATTACTTTATAGAAATGCGCCTTTTTTGATTATTTTAGTTTATAATTTAATTACAAGAAGTATCATTGCTGAATTATGTGACTCGATAATTAATAGGACACTTTCACAAAGTCCCGTTTATGAACCAGAGCAAGATTTCTTACAGGTGTGTTTAATGCAATCAGCGATATTTGAGAATCTTATGTAGAGGATCGCACAGCTAAAATTTTATGCAAATGCATATAATAAACATCTGCATCTTCTCAAAGAAATGAAACCGCCATCAAAAATATACTGAGACGCGCACAAGCGAGTGCAAAACGCTGAATATATAATAAGCGCAAGCGAGAAATGTTACGATATCAATATTTTATGTCGAATATGTTGGGTATGTTCTGATATATGTTAATAAATAAAAGTGGAAAAAATATTAAAAAACGATAATAATAAGTCTGTAACGGAATGTTCTTTGCGAAGCAGTGAATTTTTTAATGTAATATATTCTGCGTCATATTGCTATAATATAACACAACATATTTAGCTTTTTATATTTCTTTCTTGTTGTTAGAGAATACTATCTTATTCAAAGTGTGTCGTATTTATTACAAAATTGTTTAAAAGTATTTATAAACTTTGGTGAAAACTAAAACAGGAGAAACACCATTTCAAATGTAAACTATATTCGGACATGTGTACTCACACATAATCAGTTATTTTTATACTAAAGATTTTATACTAGAAATATTTTTATGGCAAAACAACGTTTGCCGGGTCAGCTAGTATGTATATATATGTATGTTATTATATGCATACATGTATGCAGAGTTATAAAATTATTAAGTATCGACTAAAAAACTCGGCCGGTTAGGAACAACCGCTTTTGGAGGACGAGTTCAGTAGCTATAAACGATTAAAATATTTGATATCGTTTTTGGTAATTAAAAACCATGCATAATAATAAATTATTTCCTGCTAATTCTTTGTTTTGTACAAACTATATGAAAACCAGCAGAATTGAATTTTATTGTAGTTACATTTATTACTACACTGAAAATTCATCTATTATCAGTTAATTAAAAAAAAATTTTTGTTCCACAAAAAAACTTTCATACATATATAATTGGTTTGTGATTAATAGCAGAACGTGTGCTATTTAATAGTGTTAATTTAATTGATAAAATGTGGTAATCGGTTTGTGAATTATGTAGAGCAGATTTGCGTATTTAAGAGATATTAATAATTACCCATTGTTACTAGTAGTTATTTAATAAAACAATTGAAAAATCTATAAGATGGTAGGTATCATACCAAATACGATGAAGTATTATGATAGGTATGTATTTATAAACTTCATTTTGTGCCCAATTATTTAAATTAAGAATTACCGAATTTAATAGATTTCATTAACGCCGAATTATGTAAACAAACGATTATTAACTATAAGATTAAATTATAATACATATTGGCAACAATTCTAAATTATCACTTTATTGAACCGTAAAGATATTTTTATTTTCCGAAAGTATTACGAATTGTAGGATGACAACTAAATTCTCTGACGCAGTTGTAGGTGTAAAATCTAACTAAATGCATTCATACTATAATAATTTTATTTTATTATTGTGACTTAGTTATTTATTAACTTTTGTGTTCGTGTTTGCCCTTAATATTATAAAGAGTTGGTTTTTTGTTGATATTTTTTTACCAAGATTTTAATTTAGTATATTTTGAAATTTTGAATATATATAAGTGTAATGCGTATAGAATACACAAACTTAATTTAATTTAATGTATTGTTATCAAATCGATATATGTACATAGTTTGGAAGTCACAATGTCCATATAATGTATTGAAATTTGAAATGAAATATAAAAAAACTTATAAAACTAAACTAACTAACTATAATAATTATCTCACTGACCTTGAGGAAATCCCACCGCGTCCAGTCCGTGCGGTAACCCGAATGGAGGTAGCGGCATACCAAGTGGCCCGTGGTGAGCGACAGCCGCGTGATGATGGTGGTGATGTGCCGCCGCTGCAGCTGCTGCCGCAGCATGGTGATGATGAGCGACAGCCGCATGATGGTGATGTGCGTGGTGCGGGTAACCGCCCGTGGCCGCACCACCGCCACCGCCAGTAGCGCCGACTACGCCGCCAGCCGTGACGCCGCCGCCCAGACCGCCGCCCGCCGATGAGTCTACGCTCGCCGTCTTCAGGTAGCCCGCCATGCCGGGCGATAAGTAGCGAGACAGAATGATGCCGGCCGGTATAAAGCTCGGGCGCGGTTCACGGGGACAGTGAACGACTCTTCACTGTGCTTCTCTACGGGTCAAACGACAATGATGTTGTTTTCTTTTTCGTTTTCTGCTACGTCATTCACGCCGCAGTTTTATTACGAATCTTAGCATTTGCATAGACTTCTTATAATGTTGACTTTGAACATGAGTCCATTGCTGATCGTCTACGTCGACTTACTTGTTTTACTGCAAATAAAAATGAATACGGGTTAATGACAAAATACATAATAACAATAATACTCAAAATAATAATTCGAAAATAATCACAAGATTGCCAATGAATTATATAATTGCAGGAGAAAAGTATGCAAAGAAAACCTAGAAATTATTATGATTATCTTCTTATGATCATTTGAAAATTCACCTATTATTCCCAATTGATACACATTTTTAGAGTTGCATGTATATGTATATAGTTATGAGTTAACACTTTGGGGACGGCTGTCCACCTCAGTGGACAAACATACTCTGTTAGGCACAGGCTATTTTATAAACAATGACTCAGTTTGCATCGAAAAGTTGAATAAATTACATATATCAGTGATAAACAGTATTGTATTTTGAAAATATTAAAGTTATTTTAGTAGTACTTTTAGCCTTTTTCTTTGCTATATAGTTTTTTTTTAATATTTAAAACGACCGAGCGCTTTTAAATATGGCAAAACGACTGGTAAATTTTGTGAATTAAGCAGTGGTGAAGATGAGTTTCAAATAGACATTCATACAGACAAGTTTTACAAATTTACTATTCGCACCGATGATAGTGATGAATGTTATGATTATATTATCCAACCAACAAAAAGTAGAAGTTCGACAAATTAAATGAAGAGCGGAACGACATTAGCAAATGTGCCGATTCTCCTTCAATAATCGAGTTTGACATTGATCAACAAATACCCCGACTACAAATACCAAGCAATATAAGACATCCAATAGATTATTTTACTTTATATTTTACAAATGAATTATTAGACAATATAATAGAAAAAACAAACCATTATGGCAGCAAAAAAATGAATAAATATACTGACTAATCAGTGGAATATTCTAAATGCGAGTGAAAGAAAAAGGGATTGTATTGTCTGTTCTAACGAAAAAGCACCAGGAGGGAGGCGGCGAACAACATTTTATTGTAAAACATGTCAAAATCAACCAGCTATGCATTTTGGAATTTGTTTTGAACGTCACCATTCTTTATAAAATGATCAAAAATAAATTTATATTATAAATGTATGTCCTTCATTGACCACCAATTTTTATCATATTATATATAAACAAATTGCATAACATACACAATGAAATCAAGTTTACAGCCGGTACAAGAGATTGTTTTGAAATCGGTGCCGCCCCGAAAGTGTTAAAGTTACATTAAATTGTTTGTGTATTTCTAATTTGCGGAGAGTTGGTCGCAATTATCTTTAAAAATTGAATTATATATATACACACAGTGGTACCGCGCATTACGAGCGCCTCGTCATATGACTGAAATTCGAGATAAGAGTCGCCAACTAGCTGTAAGTGGAATTCTGTCTTAAGGCAATTAGGGCATCGTGCCTTAAGGCAAATTGCTGGAACTTCCCGTACCAAAAATTATTATTTTTTTTAAAAACAATTAACATTTTTGTAAAAATGTTACTTCGAAAAAATAAGATTTTTGACAAACTATAAATTGGACAAAAAATTCTTTTTTTTTTTTAAATTTTTTTTTAAAAAAAAAAAATTTTTTAATTTTTTTTTTTTGAAAATAAAAATGTTTTCTTTATTTTGACATACTTTGGAAGATCTGAACTTGTTTTTCAAAGCAATCGCACTGCTTTAACTGCATAGAGACAAAATATAAAGCGCGTATGCGCGGCGTCGCTGTCTAACGGGTAAACATAGATACGGAACCCATAGGAAAACAAACAAAATTTATACTTATTGTTAAAATCTCTATAAAATATCTAAAAATTTGATGTGCATATGTCTAATGATCATTTTTTGACCGCCAAATGGCATTTTTTTTTACTTTTTTTGTTAGATCTCCGAAACCGCTAGACCTGCCTTTATGAAAATTTGATCAATTCTTTATCTTGTCAATACAAGTAAAATGTTTTTTAAATTATTAAAATCGGACGCTCCGTTCTCTTAAAAACTGAGTTACCGTTTCCGGTACTTTTTGCCCCGTATTTCCGAAACGGCTAGACTTGCCTTCGCCAAAAACTAATCAGCACGTCTCCTTATCAATACGAATCGAATGTTTTTTGAATAATTCAAATCGGTTGATCCGTGTTCCCGAAATCGTCGACGAAAATTTGTATCCGCACATACATACACACACGCACACACACACACACACCCACACACACACACACACACACACACACACATACATCCATTTTTTCTAAGGTATGCCAAAATGTTCAGAAACCTCTGAAACGTAAAGATATATAAAAATTTTCATTTTCGATTTTTTTGCGATTACTATAACTTACCCTACGGGAAGTTAGAAAACGGCTCATTTGCTTCCTCATACGAGCAAAGTTCGAGATACGTGCGAGTGAGAGGCATTACGTGAATTTTTGGGGTGCGAATGAAACAGATTCATCTAATATAAATTGTAACAAGGATTTTTGTATGTGAAATCGCCTTTAACAATCATACAAATAGCTAAAGTAAATTATTTTATTTATTAAAGTTAAAAATTTCAATTTGTTAATATTAACTGTGCATTGTTTGTGCACTGGGGGACAAAGTTAAAAACTTTTTGAATAAACATCAGAATTATTTGGTAAAACTTCTAACTCATTTTCGCGATAATATAATTAGTATAATAAATAATGCTCATTGGATAGTTTTTTAAACATAAAAACCAGTATAATGATAATTTAATCATTTTTTATTTAGTAATATGCTATGTTTTATTTTATATGGAAAAAATTGCTTCGAGGTACGAGCAATTTGCCATGCGAGGGAAGTTTCGGAACGAATTATATGCTCGTGGGGGAAAGGGGTGCCTATATATATATATATATATATATATATATATATATATATATTATATACGTTGACCGAGAGCACATTATCAAGCTCAAAACAAGAAATCTTGCAGAATGAATACTTTGTTTTTGTTGTAAAGAATCTTGAATAGTCGTCGATCGCGTTATAGTGTTATAGCGTCGGCGTTATATCCGCGCGACCACCATGATCTTGTCAATTCCTGACACAAATCCAATTGACGTGGCGGGATGACGCCTTGTGCTTTCTCGATTCTCGGGGTGATGGGCACATCCCGCTAAGAAGAACAAAACGACAAGACACGGTACTCTATAAACACAGTATATATAATTCAATAAATCAATGAGAGATGAAAAGCAGAACAAAAAACGAATATCAAAATAAAAACAAATACAGGCTCAAATGCCATTTATGAAGATTTGAAAATCAAATGAGAGATCGGATGAGGCGTCTCAAATTTGACAATGACAGTTTTAAAAGTTCATTCGGTTTTCATTCATGACTCCTTTTGTGTTTCCTGCGTATCTAAACCTATTATGGATATTAAGCTATACATATTTCTGACGAGGATAGAAAACGTTTTAGTATAATATATGAATTAACTTTAGCAACGCAAGTAACATAACTTTAAAACATAAGTATTTCACACTAAATTGTGAATTTAGGCGATTTAACTACTTCACTTCAGTTCATACATTTTGGAAATAAATTAAACAAAATAATATTTACTGTCAACAAGTCCGCAAAGTAAATGCTATAGCATTCATTTTCATTGTGATGCAGAATGACATGAAAGGTGTTCAAATTTTAAATTAATTATAGTTATTTTGAATTTAATTTTGTATAACCTTACTTAGCCTATGAAGGTAATAACTAACTGATTCTTTTAGTATTTTCGTATTATTTTTTTTCGTAGTCATAAATTAGCTTGGACAAGCACATTGCGTAAAATAGAAACGTGGATGCTATAGCATTCATCGTATAAATATAATGATCTGACTACCCTTATATACGGTGTTTAATCAAATTTTGGATGACACAACAAATTTAAAAATAAAATGAGTAATTTTTATTGCTAATGAATTTTTTTCATCTTGCTAACTATCTTCTACTGTTCACGAGCTTGTTAAACTCAAATGGATCAAAATAAAAAATTTTATCAATCATGAATACTTTTGAAAACTAAAAATGCATAGCATTTATTTCCCAAATATTACATTTTTTCTAATGATCAAAAATTCAAGAAAAAAAGCGCATTGCCTTTGATTGCATTAATTTCAAGATTAAACGAAAAATCGATGCAATTTTATTATAATTCGAACAATTTTGTTTAATTGAAATGTGTAAAATAACATCATCTAAATTGCAAAATAATCAAGCAAACACATCACATCTATCAATAATGTTCACCAAGCGGAAATACCGAATACCTTAAAAACAGATCTTTATCGAATTCTGACACGTACTTCTAAAAATAGAAGCATTCCGCAAAGCGCCCAAACTCGTTAAAATGGGTCCATTCATAATAACACGTACTTTTTTGGCAAAAAAAATAAATAGGCACTAACATATTGTTGGACAGCATTCGTAACTGCTTTACATGAATACAGATACGGTTGTTTGTTTGAAAGTGTCTCGTTTTGGGAAGGGAACATATTGGTAGAAAATGAGCGTTTGATATGCGTTTTTGTGGGGTTAGTGTTCGAGCCCCGGGCGTGAACGAAAGGTAGTCCTAGAAATTTTTGACAATAGCGAACAAACGTGCCCGCATTGAATAGAAACTCATAACAATCGATCTTCGCTCAAGTTTGGTTTTTGCGAACAGACGTTTCGGTTTCACTTCATAGTAAATAATACGCCTCATATACCACTTTTCACCTCCCTAGTTTTGTTGTTGGAAATTAATAAATTAATGGTTTCGGTTTTCGGATACA